TATATTAAGTATAACAAGAAAATAAACTGAAATATTATTCAAAAAACAACAAAAACTATTAAAACGTACCAATTTTTATGCGGAACCTTTATCCTTTCTAGTTACATGAATACCAATGTTATAATCTTTTTTGAAGTACTTTTAAACGTAGATATTTATTTAAAGAGGATGCCATTATTTTCATTTATTTTGATGGTGTACATTTTATAAAGATTTGAAATGCTTTTAGTATCTGCTGATAGATTCAATTTTTTAGTCGCCCCTTGACAGTAGTGCGAGGGGACAGCAGGAAGATCCTCAATAAAATCTGTAAATAGTAACATTTGTTCTGGAGCAATTTTAGGTTTAGGTTCTTGTTTCCCTCTATTCTCACGGTTAACTTCAATTCTTTAATAGCATACCGTACCAATTTTTAATATTAAGATTATTTTTAAAGAATTGTAAGCAAACCCGTTTTTGTATATCATTTTTCAAAAGAAAGTATTGATAAGTTAGATTACGACATGAATCAGAAACGTCTTTTTCTTTCTTCTTTTTACAGGTATGACATTAACGCAACCATTAATGAAATTTTTCTTATCTAAATTATTACCTAGGTTCCAAAATTTTTAAAAAATACTATTTTTGTCCTCAGTGCTAAAGCTATTACATTGATTGACACATTTTTTGCCTAAACATAAATTAGGAAGCAAAACTTTTTCAGCAACGCGTTCGTTTTTATAATTATAATAACTTTCCCCCAAGTTACGTAACTTTCAATGACGTAATAAAATACTTTCCTTTTTTTCTTTTTTGTCCTCTACCTTCAGGTAGAGTGCTTTGAGATAAAGTACTTGATATTTTACTAGAAATTGAACCAGTTGATGAGCTAGAACTAATGCTGCCAATTTCAGTCTTATTTTTAAGAAATACTGTCAAGTATGATGAATTTGATTCGGAGTTTAAAGAATCATTATGTTGTATAACATCATTACAACCTATCTTATCATCAACTAATGAACTAATTACTCTTGCGACATTATTATTACTATCATCAGTATCATTACTATCTGAGTAAGGTACAAGCTTTTTATCACAGGTTAATAAAACAGTCTCGTCTTCGGCAGTCTCATCAATATTTTAAAATAAACGGCTGTCAGTATTCAAATTTGGACTTGAAGGAAAACTGAAATCTACAATGGCATCATCATCTAGAACAAAACTAGGCATTTGGAGTTTTTGTTCATGGTCTTTTAGTATAGGCTCTAAAAGATCATCATACTTTAGCGCTTCATTGAGGACCTCATTTTCAGTGGAAATGAACCATGGTTTTTATTATTTCCGTTGTATTGCACATTGCTTTCCTGATTCTTCAAAATGGATTGCAATGCAAGATTTATTATTTTGTGCCCACGAGAAACCATTCTAAAAACCATTAAAAAAAGAAGTAAGAGCCATTCAAATGTTAGTTTTTTAAAATAATATTACTACCAAAATATAAATTTAAAATAATAAAAAAAGAAGACTATACAACAGAGTAAATATATATTTTATTTAGGTTCAAACCTTATTTAAGTCGGTTAAGTAGTAACTTTTCTATGGCAAATTTAAGACATAGTGTATTTTAAATGCTCAAATGGCGGTTAGATAAACGAAAATTTTTTTTATAAAAAGACGTAACCGACAGTCGGTAAAATTGTAGATTCTTATGGTATATTATGATTTCTTAAGATAAATAACCTAACTAAACGCTTAACAAAACATTAAATATAATTAATATTTCAAATTATTGTTTACCTTATTGATGTAACCACGTTTTCAGACCCAAATCGTAAGAACCATCTTCCACTACGGATATTGTCGCTTACTAATTTCGGTGTTTCATCTTTTAAGAAACTCGTTTGGCGGTTAAAAAATTCAAAGCTTGTTTTAGTTGATTTGGAATTTTTTTACAGCTGCGTCTTTTTAATAGTAGATGTAGGACGTAAAATGTATTTGATTTTGATACCAAAACATAAATTTAGAAATTTTGGCGCTTATGCCTTTTTGTCGTGACGCCATCGAGATATCAAGTTTTAATATTTCTGCTGGTATTTTAGTAATACCATCGACTTTAAACATGTAGCTAATTGACTGTTTTCTTCTGCTGTCACGAGTGCCACCAGATGTACTTTTCTCTTATAATTGCCTTAGTTTTCATCATGTTCCAATAATTTCCAAATATTTCTTTACGCTGATGCTCAGTAATTTTAATAATACATTGTTGTCCTCAGGGAACACAACCTGCCTCATTTGGTTCTCACTAACTGTTTGGCCATATTTTGTTAAGAGAGTTTTTCCTTTAGTTGATTTTCCTTTAGTTGGTTTAGAAAGAGGTAGCCTCTTTCCGTTTAGTTGATTTTCATGCAGCTTTATTTTTAAGTTTTTTTTTCTATGACGATCTTTGGTTTTTTGGGTCAAACTTTCAGATAGCCTATAGTACAAGATCCCACTGCAGTTTCACTACATTCATAACGTTTAATTACATTTTTAAATACATTTAAAATTATGAGAATAAACTGATAATAGGTGGTCAGTCAAAAAGAGGTTTTAAATATGTTTTCCACCTACCTCTATTCAAACTATACCTTTCCTGGCCTGATTGTAGGGAGCAAAGTCGTACTTTTTCTCCATAGAAAGACAAAGTACTTTTACTCCATGGGCAATAAAAGTAAAAGTGACAACAGTCCAAATCCTTGCCAATCTAGTGCAAAGAAAATGCTCACGATCTGCACATAAAATGTTAAAACAATATACAAGACCGGTAAGACTCAGAATACAATCAAGGAGATGAATAGATTATCAATAGACATTATGGTTGAAAAACTTGAGAGAATGGTACAATTCCACCAATTACCAACTGTTTAGATCTGCAGCATCAAAAATGCGCATAGCTTTGATGATAGCCAAACTTCGGAACGAAGACGGCACTTGAAGAAGAAGACATTATGGAAATAAGCAACATGAGATGGATGCACTTTGACCAATGTAAAATTAACAATCATCCTGGTGTAACCGGTGTAATTCAGGTAACCGCAACGGAAGACACGAAAATGGAGTAGGTATAATCCTAAATCAAGAAACTGCCAGACATCTTAAAAACTTTTTTATCCACATCGGAAAGAATGCTCATCCTTTAACTTGATATCTACCTAATACCAACCATTATTATCCAGGAATATGTCCCTATAGCTGGCAAATCAGACGACTTAAGTGAAACATTCTATAATGAATTATCCAACACGTTGAAACACCTTCCCAAAAAGGATTTAACCTTGACTATGGATGATTTAAATACCAAGATTGGTAGGGGACAATGGGGAGAATTTGTAGGATAGTTTGAGCTTGGAGAAAAAAATAAGCGAGGATGCCGAGTGAATTTGTATCAAAAGAAGAGTTTTTACTTACTAACAATTACTTTAAACTCCCGTAAAGAAGATTATACACGTGAAAATCACCTTAAGATACTTCAGGCTACGTACGCGTAGTCAGAAATCAAATAGATTAATCATCATCATCATCAATGGTGCTACAGCCCTATGAAAGCCTTTCTACCATTCTCATCTACACCATCCTTCCATCTGAGTTTTGGCCTACCCTTTTTTCTACTTTTCACGGGTTGTGACATAAGGATTCTTCTAGGAGGGTTGTTCTGCTGTGATCTTGCTAGATATCCTGCCCATCTTAGTCTTCCTATTTTTATAAGAGATACTACGTCTTTACCACCAAATATTTGTTTATATCTGTAGTATACCTCGTAGTTGTATCTCCTTCTCCAAACACCATACAGTATGATTAATATAAGATTCCGTAATAACATTACATCAGTCAAGATACACCTAGGAGCCGATATCAAGTCAGACCATAACCCACTGATTTGCAAAATGAGGGTCAGGCTAAAGAAGATTCGACATAGCGTCAACTCAATATACGACAATCAGGCTACTTAAAGACCAATGCACAGACATACAAGACATATAAGAAAAATTCTTCAAACCACCAAAAATTAAGAAAAAATCGTGGATGAGATTCTAGATATAATGGAATAGAGGCAAAAGGTCAAAGATCAGGACAAGACATTACACAAAAGAATAGACAAAGAGCTCAAAAAACAATCAGAGGACATACAGCTTTATGTCCTCTGATTGTTTTTTTTTTAATTTTTCCTTTATTAAATCTTGATTTTTAATAATATTCTCCCTTCATACTGCTAGTTTGGCTTTGGGATTATAGCAGGATAGTCTGCTATCTCTTGGGCTTACGGTATACCAGCAAGGTAACAGGCAGTCTTTTTTTAAATTGCCTATTATTACCCCTGGTTTTACCTTTGGTAATTATTTTATTCAGGCTAGCCGACCTAGGGCTTAAAACAAAATATCTAAATGTTTTTGGCGGCGTTGATGATCGATTCCTAATCCTTTAATCGTGATTTTGAACATTCTTTAATATACTTTTGATTCTATATCAGTTTTTTTTATAATACGCTATTTATTTTTCGTTTTACTTTACTTTACTTTCTACTTTAATCACCATCGATAATATTGTTTTTATTAGTGTTTTGCTCAAGCAGATCTTTATTGATAACTTAATTGCATGTTTCATCTATTTTAGCATATTATCTAAGTTTTCTTTATGCTGTATTCTTTCAAGACCGCCATTTATAGTTTCTAGGAATGGTTTTATATTTATACTTTCTCAGTTTTATCTTATAATATTTACTACAGACAAAATTATTACAACAAAAAATTAATAAAATGCTCTTATCTAACAACAAAGTATCTTTTCATATATGCAGGAAACAAGAAGAATTAAATTTTTCTAAACAACTACACACTCATTCTTCTCTGTCAATTAATCAAGTCGTCCCATAGAGGAAGTTTATTTATTAAACCGCATGACGTATGTTATAAAACAGCAAATAGCGAACGGAGAATACAGAGAAAAGCGAGACAATGGGTGATGTGTAAAAGAGGGTTAATTACCTTTCCTTCCTGAGTTCGCCGTTTCGTTTCCGGAAGTTGGCGACGAGCATTTGAAGTTCTTCCGCATGGTGCTCGTACATCTGACCCAACTGTTGGGTGAAATCGGACACTGAAACAGACACGTTTTCTTTTATTAGTTTGGTCGAATTGAACTTATGTTCGGTTTGTTCTTAGACAGTTTACGAAGTTTCAAACAAGAACTAAGTTGTACATGTTGTCTTAATAAAAATATACAATAACTGAATACAATTAAAAGTTGTTAAATAACATATAAGTTTCTGGAAACAAAAAGTAGACAAAAACAAAATTAAAACTTTTATAAAAAAGCAAAACATTGGATTTTAATAAGCAACACTAGAAGAACAACAGCTAGAAGGTTATGATATTCTGGAAATAATGAATTTAGCATTATTTCCAGAATATCTTAACTTTCTAGCTATTATAACCTAGTGTAATAGAACTAAACTTATTGGAATATGTAACAGACTCTTGAACTAAAAATAATATAGTTTTATTTAAGTGTAAAAGGAAAGTAATTTCAAGGGATTTATTTTATTTATCTCATTGTTTAAAGAACGATTTAATGTTTAAAAAAAAAAGTAAAATGTGATATTTTGATATTACATGGAGAGTTGTTGAGTAAGTATTTCTAATAATTCTTATTCTTTTATGTTAGAGACTACGAAGAAAAAAAAGTGACACAAAATGTGTAAGTAGTGATAGTTTTAATAAGGGTTACTTAGTAAATATATGAAATGACTTAAAAATAATTCATTGTAATGTTAGCAGTACAGGTTGGAATTTTGATAATTTTTGTTTATTTTTGTCAACTCTAAATTTTAACTTTGATATATTAATTCTTACGGCGACATACATTCAAGATGATATTGATAAAACCCCATATTTAATTATACAATTATGGTGATTTAACCCTTTCAATGCGGAAAGCACACCGGTGCGCTTTGTTCATTTTTAATAAAATGCGAACGGCGCACCGGCGCGCTCTCGAAACACATACTTTTATATGCTTATTTAAAAACGTCGCAGTTATCAGAAGTATTTTAAATATGTTTCGCACTTACATAAATATTTGTAATGCTGATATGTGAAATCCGTTTTTCGGGGTTTCACATAGGTAGCTAGTAATGGATTTTCTAATATAACCTGTTTATTTATCGTTTAAACGTTAGTCAGTGAGTGACTTATTTGTTCTATTTTTACAATAATGGCAGAATTATGTGAAGCTGGTCCCTCAGGGATAAAAAAACGTAAAATTATTCAAGTTAGAAATCCAAAAAAAGTAACGGAGGAGGAACTGATGCAATTTTTATATAATTCAGACACTGAAAGCGATTATGAATTGGACGATTGTAAGTAAATAAATTTCTAAAATTTGTGATTTTGACAAAACTTATTTTTTAAGCTTTTGATGAAGATTATTCGGAGAGGGAATCATCGAAAAGTGAAACTGAAGACAATGTGCAAGAGGAATTAGCAAATACTTTGGAAAATAACATTGAGAATAATACTTTTGACGAAAATACTGAATTACGTCCCAGGATCAATCAGGATACATGGACAGAAACTAGTGAAGGTATGACTCAAATTCCTTTTAACAAAGTAAATCAATTACTAGTAGATTCTCCTGGCCAAGAACCTTACGAGTGGTTTAGGTTATTAGTGGACGATTCACTGTTAAATATGATAGTATTGCAGACTAATAATTATGCCCTAGAAGTACTCTCTGTTAGTAGTGGACAACGTTCAAGAATTTCTGCGTGGAAACCGCTAACTGTATCGGAATTACTTATTTTTATAGCATTAACTCTACACACGGGAACCATCAAATTGCCTCGTATAAACGACTACTGGAAAAAGCATAGGCTATTTTCAAATTGTTTTTCTAGGTATATGAGTAGAGACCGATATTTTTTAATAATGAGGTGTTTACATTTTTGTGAAAATGTACCAGCTACTGAGCTACCTCCTGCAGATCGTCTGTATAAAGTACGACCTTTGATGAACCATTTTAATATGAAAATGCAGACATTATATTATCCTGGGAAGCATTTGTCTTTGGACGAGTCAATGGTACTTTGGAAAGGCAAACTTGCTTTTAGACAATATCTTCCAAAAAAAAAAGCATAGATATGGTGTAAAACTCTATATGTTAACGGAGACAGATGGAACTGTGTTGGATTTTACTATATATGCTGGTGCAAACGATACTCTAAGTGGTAAAAATCATACAGAAAAAGTTGTGCTGTTCTTGATGAGGAACTTTTTGAATAGTGGTCATTCCCTATACATGGATAATTATTATAATAGTGTTACCCTAGCCAAAGAGTTGTTAAATCGAAATACCTTCTGTACAGGAACCATTCGTAAGGATAGGATCGGTAATCCATCTGAAGTCACAAAAGCAAACTTAAAAAAAGGAGAATCCAAAGGTATGTACTGCAAAAAAGTTTTAGTAGGTAAATGGAAAGATAAAAGGGATGTGGTGTATATTTCAACCGAATACGAGAATATAATGAAAACTACAACAAATAGAAGGGGAAATGAAGTAGAAAAACCTTTGCCTGTACTTATGTATAACAGACATATGGGAGGAATAGATCACAGAGATCAGATGTGTGCTTATTATCCAATGCTACGTAAAACTTTAAGATGGTATAAGAAAATTGGCATTCACATGTTTCAATTATATTTGCAAAACTCTCATAGCCTTTTCAATAAGTACTCTGGTAAAAAATTATCTCTGTATCAGTTTCGTCTAGAAATTTTAGAAAAACTGTTACCAGATGAGCCGCAACAAATAAAGGTACATCAAAACTTAGAACATTTAGCTACAAAAATGACAGTTCGAAATGATAAGAACAGAATTCTGAGAAAAAAATGTCGGATGTGTGCTAAAAATAATATACGAAAAGATACTCCATATCACTGCACAACATGTCCAGAACAGCCCGGTCTCTGCATAGGAAGTTGCTTCCAGAAATATCACGATAACTAATAAGTTTTTTTAATTCACGCTATTATATATGTTTTTGCCAAAGGATGTTGCTAATTTGAAATAATATTGTTATTTTTTTTGTAAAATTTGTATTTGTTTACTTAAAACTTTTGTCAATTCTGTTGTAACACTTTTCGCTGTTATGTTTCTAGTTTGTAGGTTATGAAATAAAAATTAATTTTTCTGCATTTTTATTTTTTTGATCACGGCGCACCGGTGCGCATTACGCATTTTATTAAATTTTCTTTAAAGAAATGCGGCGGACGCACCGGTGCGCTTTACAAAAAATTACCTTAAAATCAGTTGAACTATCTTCCTATAAGACGTTACAACTCAGTAAACTAAAACTTTTAAAATTTACTTTAAAAAAAATATTGCCGCACAGGGCAATATCCTACTATGATACTCCGCATTGAAAGGGTTAAACAAAAATGATCGAGTTACTATTTACATTAATCCTTTATAAAATATGAATATTCTGTTATACCATTGGGGAACATCAAGTTACTTAAAGTCATCATTCTTTCATTTTATTTTCTTTTAGGTGGGTTAAAATCAATTTTAAAATTTCAAAAAATTGTAAAAATAGACCTATAGGTTGAATGTACATATATGACGTAAAAATGCATTTTTTTTTTCGAAAAAAAAAAACGAAAATTTTTTTTTAAGATGGCTGCAGGTCTAATTTTTTTTCTATTTTATGTTTTTAATTAAAAACATAAAAAAAATGGTTTTTGACTGTTTTTCCCCATTTTATAGATTTTAAATAGTTTATTATAGGTTATATATAATTATTTAAAGTCACTGAGCCTTTTAGGACATTTAAATAGTAATAGGTTTTTAAAAGTTTTTGCAGAACACCAATAAAAAGCTTAAAAAACATGGGTTTTGGGGATTTGAAATAGTTTCGCCCAATTTTTAAATGTATTGTTGGACTCAGTTAGTTCAAATTATCTATTACCTATAAAAAAGGAAATACCTAATGGAAAAATTTGCAAAAAAATTAAAAATATATTTTTTGATTACATACACCAGAGTGAAATTACTTTATTTTACTTTGCTTTGTAGTGAAATGAAAAAGTAATAGAAGATATGAAATAAAAGAAAAATCAAGAGAAAAACAAGAATAAAAGGAATACATGTCATAAGGAGTAGAAATAAAGTAAGAAAAGCGAAAAAAAAAAACATTTGGAGAAAGTTTGGCGGAGCTCTGGATCACGATTTCAGAAAAAATAACAAAAGTTTCTATGGCCAAAATACCAAGTCTAAGAGGAAGAAAATAAAAAGAAATTAAAAAATAACAATACGAAATATAAACAGATAGAACAAAAATAGATATTTGAAGACAATACTTTACATAAAATTTCAATTAATACGAGGAGACCCAAAAAAAAAACGAAGAACCAAAGGCTACACAAAAAGAGGAAGTTTCAAAACAAAACTGGGCAAAAAATTAACATGGAAGAGTTGAAGGAGGGGTTATCAAGAATTAGGACAAGAAAAGCGGGAGGAGCGAACGATATCGATCCTCAAATGGCTACTAGAAATCCTAAGATAAGCATGGAGAACAGAAAGCATACCGAAAGACTGGAAATAATATTAAATGGTACCTAGTTATAAAAGAGGAGATTTTCTCTTCCAAACCCAGATAATCTAAATGAATACTTGTTTAATGTAAGTAAAAATATAATATCAATTATTTTGCTACAACAAGATCCTATTTCCTATCTCCTTAATTCAAAAAATGTCTCGAATTCATTGTTAATAAGACCAGTAGATAAATATAAACTGATCAAAATAATCAGTAGTATCAAAAGCAAATCTTTCTGCAGTACTGATGAACTATCCATAAAAATTTCCTTAAAGCTCCTAAAATATATATTGGAAGTCCTCGTCTCAATAATTAATGATTCCTTTGAAAAAGGTATATTTCCAGAGTACCTAAAGATAGCCATTATTATTCCTCTTCATAAGGGTGGTGAAAAATTGAATGTCTGCAAATATAGATAGATTGCCTTACTACCGGTCTTATCCAAATTCATTGAGAGGCTCATAAAGGCCCGCCTTATATCCTTTCTCGTTATAAACAACAT